ATATATATATCTGTGAAAGAGTGTATTTATATATACAGCGAGATACAGATAGAGGATATACATTGAGACAATCGGGTATTTTGAATCTTTAATGTCATGGTGCTTATGATTACCTATTTATTGAGTTTATTTAAATATTATGTGGAACTTTATGTCATTTTTTGTCCACGCGTAAACTATTGGTTTTTTCATATAAAAGATATTGCAGGTATTGAAAAAGTGTGAGCCATTGTTTTAAATTATCGTGTACGGTACAATTAGTTGGATAAAAACGTTGCTCTACTCAATTTTTCAAAAAAGTTATGTAAAAAAGTTAAAAATAATCTATATGTAAGTCCTCAGATTATGATTTGTAGTAATTAAAAAATAATTTGATTGTGGGTATTACTTTATGGTGGTTCCTGTTAGTACCTAAAAATTAAAAAAAAAAAAAATATGTTAGCCACGTATAATGAAGTGGTTGTTTACATTGTTTTTTGATCATATTACATTTACACATCCTGATTTGTCTAAAAAGAATGATATTTTAAAACTTTGGATTAAAATTTACATCAACATATAATCTAAAGTAAGTACACGATAACGGAAACTCATTCACTTTTCACTCCCAATAACATGAACACCAAGATACTCCTTGATTTTCTATTATAAGTAACCAGTAACTTTCTAGCCCTTTCAGCCGTTTTTGAAATTCAACCTCCTCCCAATCGTACAATAACTTACCCCCTACGGAAAAAAAGGTCTGACATGCGTTGCAGCTCAAAATTCCATCCGGCGCTCGTTCCTTAATTGACATTTTGTTTCGCGCTCCTCGTGCCCCCCTACTATTCCCCACACACTTATTACCATCAACGAAAAAATAAATAAATAAGGGCTACCAAGTTAGAAAAAAAAAAAAAAAAGAAAAAACGAAAATAAGTCCAAGAGACGACAGAAGCCGGGACAAGTCTTGCTTGGTTGAAACGGTCTTTGCTGTATAGAGACGTGGAGCCAAGTCAAGGGAACGACTACTCTTTTTTTCTTGTTTTCCCCTATTGGGCCACACGCCCACGTGTGTGGCCCTAATTGTCAAAGTAATTACTGAATCTCTTTTCCTTCGCGGCAATTTGGAGAATAAAAGCATACGAAGTTAGGATTTCAAATGAAATGTTGCTTCACTTCGTATAATCTCTTTTTTATTAATAATCCCGAGGGACTTGTCACTATTACGTGGAGGGTCCACACTGTCGTCCCAGCGTATGTGCCATAAGAACAACATTGCACTTACGCTTTTTTTCCATGGGACGGCAGTACGTAGAGATGATGATTTTAGAGTGCATTTATCATTTAAAAAACGATTTTTTAAATAATTTTTTAATAAATGTTTTTTTTATGATGTAATTATTTTATCTTATTTAATTTGATTTAAGACGTACTTTTCAATACTCGAAAGTAAATGTCATACTTTTTAGCATAAAAGCATGTTTTTTCTCCGAGTACAAATAAAGTTTCAAACGTTTTTGGGCTCATGACGTACATGAATTTTGATTGCATTGATTCCATTGATTCTATGATACTTTCGGTATAATATATTGATTGGATTTCATTTATCTACATTTTTAAATGATTCCACCACTCACCAGCTTGCAAATCCACGGGCAGAGTTATAAATTCTTCAAGTGTTTATGATCAAGAGCAAGAAAAACATTTTTTTGTTTTAAATTGCAGATGTAAAAAAGGCAACCGAAGAAAGTGAATCCTAGCCACAGATCTTGTATATTCCCGGGGTACTTTTCCTTCCGTACCCAGCACGAGACACATTAGACAGGACGCATGTAAAAAAAAAGCACTCCTCTTTCCAAGGACCGAGAGACGTTCACATTGTACATATTATAGATACCCCTATAGATGGAGCCCACTGACACACATGTTCTCATAAACGTCCGTCCGATAATTTGTGTTGGGGATGCACTCGAGCGCTCGGAGGGCGGTGTCGAGTTGTTACTCTCCGGCCCCCTTCATAATATAACTTAGGTGCGCGTGCATGTACGAGGAGAAATGGAAGACGGGGGTATGATTTCTTTCTATTTTTTTTTCTGCCTCCCTCCTCGCCAACGTTAATTAATCACCGGTACTCCCGAAACTGTCAAACGCGTCTTCGCTACCCCCACCCCTTCCGTCTTCCGTTTTTCCCCGTAGGTGATGGACGCGCTCTCTTTTCTCTCCGTGTGTGGTAAATGCGTGCGTTTTGGGGGGTTGGGGGGAGGGGGGAATTTCCTTGCGTTGACTGAACGTTTCTTTTTTTTTAGATACTTTTATAAAATCAGGATGGTCTAAGATTTATGTACAAGCACATGTGTGTTGAAAGATAAGATGATAACCAAAAGTATGTAAAAATGTATTTAAATTGATGGGCTTATTGAAAGTTTGAAAGGAAGATCCGTACTTTTAGTCATTTTTTTTAAATCGTCAACAAAATATTGTTTAAGTAGGTAAAACCACATTGCATAGAAATTAATGTATGCACTGTATACATTTTGTGAAGTAAAGCTCGTAGTATCAATTATTAACTGCATAGACACATATGTACAGTTGAATACTCATGATAGGGTTGTATACGATCATTGTGAAGTATAAATTAATGTATAACGATTTCATATTTTATCTGGAAAAATAAATATTGTCGCCTGATTTTGCTGTACGCTAAGGAATGGGATAGCTTTTAGCATTTTGGAGTAAAAAAGGGTAACTGGGCTTGAGAAAAAGTTCGAGTTATACCTTATTGCTTCCTAAATTTCCAAGTTGGTCCTTTATTCATCGCAAAGTTGTGTCATATCTTTGTAATTTATTCAATAACAAAGTTAATTAATTTTCAAATACAGAGCCGAGTTACATCTTTATTTATCTCAAAAAACGATATAGTATTATTTATTTAAAAAGAGTTCACTTTCTAATGAAGCATCATGACAAACACGTTTGTGTTACCTATATTAAATTTACTCCACGAAAAAATAAAAATGTTTCATTAAACTTTAATGTAAAAATTTTGGTTGAGATGAGATTCCACAACATATATACGTGTAAACTTTCATAACCAGAGCTTTCTTGTCACATCTCCCGACCTCGTGGTAATATATATATATATATATATATATATATATATATACATAGGCACATAAGTGCACGGAATGTCAGCCGAAAAAGCTCTCAGCTCGTTCCTCTCATTATTCGTCATCATCTCCTCTCTCTCGTGCACACGCGATGATAAATCTGGTGCTCGATGCCCAGATGTTGTGTGTGCGTACACCCGAGATGCTCACATTTCATATACGTACATTTTTTCTCTATAGAGCCCGTATTTTTTTATCTCTTCTCCTTCCAATAGAGATCATAGGAGCAAAGTATCTGAGCCACCGTGGACTCGAAAAAGCGATGGAGATAGAGCGATGCCTCAAGGTGAAAGGGTCGCAAAATTTTACAGCCACTCTTTACAGCCTCTTCGCGCGATCGCGCGCAAAGTTTCAAAAAGTCTCTTCCACCACCCCCATCGCATGCATCCTCTCTCTTTCGGATGCCACGGTCGTTAAAAAACCCCCGTCGGTCTGTGCGCGGAGGAGCGTGTGGGCTTTTGCACAACTTTCGTTACCTCACCACGTGGCGTGTGAGTACAAGCACAAGGTTTCGAGACGTCGTCGTAAACTTTCGCGACTTCCTTCTCCTGCAAAAGTTGTTGACTAGTTGAGACTTATTGCGCGTGCCCACCCGTCCTCCCCCTCCCCCGTTTGACTATCATCACGTTTTTTTTTTTTTTTTCCTTTTTCAAAGAGGAAGCGATAAAGTTGTCACTTTTTTCCGCCACGCCCACAAATAGACAGCCCTGCACATATTGTATCTAAGTGGTTCTAGATTCCACGAAGCTTGCATAACAGCCGCTAAAGCTCCATAGAAAAATTATCGTGCGCACATTGTACCTCTACCAGGTTTCCAGTGCAAATCGTAACATATATGTTCACAATCATTATTTTAGCGCATTGATTTAGCTGAAAAATTTATTCTCCTTGTATGTCAAGTTTTTCTTATTATTCATCTCGATTGCAGTTCGACTTACGGTGTGTGTCTTTAACATAAACTTTTGTTGGTGTTTTTAATTACAAGAATAACATTTCAACTTAGTCCATCGTTAGCCCAGTGACAAGTGAGTTGTAACATTTCATGAACTTTCGCGTGTACCTGAGCCTCATGAGGCTGACACAAATGGTCAGAAAAACGTTGGTGTATTAAACTAAGAGATACAAAAACTCCAGGTGTTATTATTTCTTGAACCTCACCCCCAACAGGTCACCAAACACCTTACTTCTACATAACATTTCAATTTACCATAACAATCATGTGCCTGTTACTTCTTACCGATTTCTTGATTCAGCTAAGTTATCAAACGCTTTTATGTATCCATACAAAGCATCTATTGGTTCCTCTTTTAATAATTTTAGTGTTTTTTTCATGTGCATTTCTTCATAATCCGTAAATATTACATCTCCAACTACCCTTTTCTGATTTCATCCTACATTTGTTTACCTGCCTCCTTGCACAATCATAAGTCTTCTACACTTTTGGTATTCACTGGTACCTAACTTGCTTTAAGTACTCATGAGGTATGATTGCGGAAGAGATGTGCGATCGCTTTGTGATTAAGTTATTTGGTTACAATCGAGAGTCAAACATATATGTTAATGATTAATCACTCGTCTTCGTTCACGTTACAGATAATCCTGAATTCGATGCACCGCTACCAGCCACGTTGCCACGTGGTCGTGGCTCCGTCGCCACCGGGCTCGTCGCCAGACCCACGTACCGAAAACTTCAAGACTTTCTCATTCCCGGAGACCCGCTTCACGGCAGTGACGGCCTACCAGAACCACCGGATAACTCAACTGAAGATAGCCAGCAACCCGTTCGCCAAGGGTTTCCGTGACTGCGAGCCGGACGATTGCGACGGGAGCACCAGTGCTGCCACCAATGCATCCGCGAGCCCTGCACCCAAACGTGTACCAGCTTGTTCAGTGGCTGCGCAGAGCGCGACCGCAAACCCAGTTACTGTGGCGACGGGCAGTGGTCCGAGTATCGGTGCAGCGGCATACCCCACCAGTGGCATGCCACTGATACCAGGTATACCCACCCAGGAACAACATCATCAGTTCTACGCGACGCCCGCCGCGCACTGGTCCTACCCCCCGCCACATCAAAGCGTCGGCCCCACGCATCACTACACCGGACACCATACACACCCCCCTACGCTTTATGGTCCCCGGTAAAGCCTTTTTTGCGGGCAATGCACGTCGCTGTGTTATTGACTATTTTTCCTCTTCTTCCTTTTCTAAGTCACTACATTAATTTATATGATTTCGTTGTAATAAGATAGAAAGTTTAAGCACGAACCAGTTACAACCTGTACGTGAACTGGTTATAACATGTTTGTAAACTTTAGTTCTTAGTGAGTGTATGTGGAGGGGGTGTTTGTTTATTTATTTGAATGATAATAGAAGGAGCGAGCTAATTTTTTCTAAGTTTTAAGATGTTCGGAATTTTACGTAAGAATAATTAGAAATAATCATATTTTGTACGTTAAAAACATGATATTTACATTGATGAGCGATTTCGTAAGGAAATGGAAAGTATTAATCTAAGGATCTGCAGAAGTATGAAAAAATAATGCGATACAATAGTTAATGTTTCATGGAAAAAATGTTAGTGTAAAACCTTTTCTTAATAGACAAGTTATCATTGTCTTTAGAAGAAAACTTTTTAAAAATTCAGCAGTTTCCAAAGATAATATTTTTTGACAGTTTTTAAAAAGTTTGAGCTTGAAAATAATTATATTTATTGGAACGAATGCCGAAGCAGATAACAAAAAAAAATTTCAGCATTTCTAAACTTGGAAAAATTAATATTTTGAAAAATATTGCAAAATATTTTTAAAAATCTGACAAAACTCACTCAAAAAAAGAGTATCAATCTTCTCTGATTACGTGCCAATAAAGTTTTATATCCCTTCGCAAAGCTGTCCATTAATGAAACTAAAAAAAAAAAAAAAAAAACGTTTTTGTCAATAACTGAGACACATCAAAACGTAACCAAAGCTCAAACCAAAGTGCCTGTATAATAAATACGCATACCTTAAGTTTATACGAAAGTCTTAAGATATTTAGTAACATGTAAAGTTTTATTTTAGAATTTTTTAAAATATTAAGAGCACAATAGGTCACCCTTGAAAAGTTATTCAATGAAAGAGCTGGGTGTCTAAGAAACGGATTTTGGTGACATTTTGGTGCATTACTTCCAGCTTTGCCTTACAATCAAAGAAAGTACTTGTACAATGATACTATTATCGTTTTGATTCGAAAACATTGGATATTTTGAATCATTTTCAATCCACAGTTATATTTGGAACTTAAACACAAGTTCAAATAGTATAAATCTGGTTTTATTTCACCAAAATGATCATCGAATCTCAATACGAACTAACGAAGAACCTTTGTCATTAATTGCAGCTTGGATGCAATCACCTCACGTTTCATCAAAATCCGTTATCATGTTCTTCGTTACACCAATGTAAAACTTTTCAAACTTACCGTTATGACTTTGAACTCTCCAACTTTATATGTGGTGCAGTGGAGTAAAATACCAAACCGGCGTATTTGTATGCATTTGGTAAAAGTGCCTTGATAGTTTAACTTGATTAGAAACCAGTGGTGCCTAATATAAATAATGAATTTCGTTTCAAGTAACGCCAGTCGCGTAAATGGTAATATATTCTCTCGGCTAAACCCTCAAGTGAGACCATGTCACAATTAACCAAAGATCTGTACGGCACGAGAAACCATCGTACGTATAGAGTACGAAACGCTTTACAAAAGAAAATACAGCTAAAGACCAAAAAAAGACAGCGTCCAAAGAATACTAAGTGTTTCAGGTACAAGACGCCTGCTGCGGTTTTAACTTTTCGCTTTGGAAAACCAGGAGAAAAGAAGAAAAACCACACCGAGTAACAAAGTGGCCTTTTGTATAGATGTGAGAGAGAGAGAGAGCAAGCGTCTATTTACGTTGGCGCCGTCTCTCATACGCATAAATAAATACCCACGAAGACTTAAAGCGTCACCCCTTGGCCTTCTTGCACGGAGTGCCTTAATAAATTAAACCTCGAGTGCGCCCACGGAGATATATCTCACTCTCGATTTCTCGAGGGTATTAGGTACTGCTTCTCTTCGCGTATACTCGCCCGGAGCGCCGGACCCTCGAAGGAGTGTACATTACACGCAGGAGACGTCGCGGACTGTTCTCCATTTGGCTCGCACCGAGAGCCATCCGACTCGTAAATAACGTTGGGTGTACGTGTATAGGTAACCGAGCGCCGGCAAAGGCTTTCCAAAATGGTTTTCGATGCCTATAACGACGACTCGTGTCTTTTGGATTAATTTATTGCGATCGGGCGTACGGGCCGAGATACGAAAATTTGGGCGAATCATAGTCCTCGCGTTGCCGATCGTTGTGGTCGCATTGTGCCTTGTAAGATTAGACGAAACGTTTGTATACATGTATGTATAGCTTTACTTAGTCTTTTGGGGTTTTGAGTGTGATTTTCGAGAGGGTTTGGTTTTATTGTATTTGAGGGTCGCAATGTGCGCGTCGAGTGCAAGCTAGTTGTGTAAGTTACGGTGGACAATAAAGTTTATGAATTTTCGAAACGTGAGAGACTCTCATTATTTTTCCTTTCCTTTCGATTGCGTGTACCATCCAAAGTATTGTACGATTTATTGCTTCCTTATTGGGAAAAAGCTTTGTAACAGACCAAGGATTGAGTTTTTATCCAGCCAGAATTTTTTGTTTCTTGATCCGAACAAACGTTTGTTTGAATACAAAAAAAAATTAATTTAATTGAACGTAATGATTATTCAAATTAAATAACACCAACAATTTCCTTACGACGTAATCTTTAATGGATTTAACTAAAAGTTAATTTGAACAAAATTTAATTGTTTGTGTTTGAATAAGTAGACGTTTTATTGGATTGTCGATATTTTTTTTCAGTGTATTCTTGATAAGAAAATATTCTGTTTTTCAAATTTTTCAAAAATGTTGTTTTTTTAACTACAATACATTTACGAAATCACACTTAATCACTTTCTGAGAAAATAAATTGTTTGAAAAAACATTTTTTGTCCGTCAATGTTTTTTTGATAAGGCCATTAAAAATTTCACATTTTTTGTTACTAAATATACAAAGTGTTTTTCATTTACATCGACACAACAACAATGATGTAAAAACTTCGAAAAATAAAAAAACTGATGAGTTAAAGTGTACAATAAAATGTATCAAGTTTATAACAACGCGTTATAATCAGCCCTAGGAATGAATTAAAAAAAAATAAATAAATAAAAATTCTAGGGGTTCGAAAGAACTCATGCCAATTAACTAATGAGCAGTGAAATATTTAAATTACATGGATAGTTTTTCACCCATCATGACATTGTCCATAATACGTAGTAAAGTTTCATAATTTTTATTAAGTCTTTTCC